GATGCCCTACACGACTTCCTGGAGCGGATTGAGGAACTGGCCGAATGCTACCAAATCCTGCCAGACCAACTGCTCCCAACCCTCCCCGAGATCTTACGCGACAAAGCACTCCACCTGGGCTAGATTCCGCGCCGAGGCAGAAAGATACTTCCTGCCTAAACGACACATAAACCAGTTAGAAGATACCATTCGCAAGCGATCGAGGAGCTCATGGAGCTTACCGATGAGTATGAGCTGCTTAGAAACGAAGAATCCAGACAAAATAGACAAAGGGCACACAACCTTTCCACTGCTGCAAGAAGCGTGGGCATCAGCGTTACCATTGTCACAACCCACGGCGGCTGTTCTACTCCCGTTGCGGACAAGGCGGAACTTTCTTCAGGAATTGTCCATGCCCCAAATCAACCATTACAGCGCCACCCATCACCCAAGCTACTACATTGCAATCCGAACGGCGGAATATCGACGGTCGCTTCTACGCCGACGTAACCATCGAAGGCTTACACGTACGAGCACTAATGGACACAGGAGCCACTCTGACGTACGTGGACGACAGCATGCGCGCCCACTTAGAACGACTCAACATCCGACCGCAGCCTAATAAGCAGAACATCCAACTTGCGGATCAGACATGCGTTGCCAGTACGCCCACCTACCCCGTCAGAATCAAGTATAACGAGCGAACCTAGCCGAACGAATAATACTAGGAATGGTCTTCCTGTCAAAACGAGGCATTGTTGTAACCTTAGATGGCCAGCCACTAAATCCCGATACGTCACCGAAACCTACACCCACGATGTGTTGCCTAACAGAACGGGCTCATCTGGATGAGGAACCGAACCAGGAACTAACCCACTCCTTAGACTACCCCAAGATGCTGTTTTCCAAAATCACCGGCCCAATCACCACAGCCAAGCATGTCATTACACTGCGACACAACCTACCGGAGTTGTACTATTACCCGTCGGCCAAAGTTACTCAGATGCAAACAGCTAAGGTAGCATCACGCAAAAGAGCGAGAAAGAATCTCCAACCAACACCACCTGACGAACCTCGGCCAATATTACCATGGCGACCTCCTTTCGAAGCAGTCCCATGGCCACCCAACAAGCCACGTATCCGGAGCGTGAAAATGGAGCCACCTTTAGCATTACCACACCCAGACCAATGGGAACCGCTGTTCACGATCACTACACGCCCTGCCGAAACTCGCGATATAACCAGCCCACCAGCCGACAGCAACAACAAAGAGATCACCATGGTAAAACCCGTACTAGACCGTGCAGTACACATCGAGGAGACAACACCGGAAGATCCATTCCGAAACCTGCGCCTACAATGACCATACAACAACTTACGCAAATGGCGAATCCGCTGGCACAGACGCGAACTCTATGTCCTCCGCATGGACGCAGACCACGCCCTGGTCAGGAACCGCGAGCAAATCCGTGTGATAGAATTTGAAGATCGAGAAGGAAGTTACACAATACGACCCACCAAAATTGTAAAAACACCCCACGGAACTGGAAGATTAACATCCCATCATATATATGCCATACGCACTTATAAAACGCATGAAATGAACAACTTATTTTTTGCTTTCTGAATTTTCTACCTTTAAGTGAAATGTAATTTCATACCTGAAAGAGGAAAACTAGGTGTAACTATAAGTAACCTTACAAGTACAAAACAAATATTTATAAATATTAGTCTCGAGAATAGTATTTATTTTAAGTAAATTTTTTTGGTTATTTTATGTAAAAAATGTTTTTCTTTCTCACCTTACAAAAATATATATCTACAATAAAAGTCACTAAACACACACACCGGCCGAGCCTCCACACTTCGTGTGAATGTTTTACCATTACCGCCTCACAATGCCAAGCCACCACGATTGAATACATACTGCTCCGCCTCCACAGGTAGGCACGGGGCGCATCGAGACGGCTTAGCCCCCCTCCCCCCCTGCCTGCGGGAGGGGCCGACAATTTGCAGGAAACATACTAACGATCAGCTTCCGTAGGTCAACTTCCGTAGCTTTCCTTCTGTGACTATTTCGGACCGCCAGCATCAACTACCGCCTCTAGGCCACGACTAAAGTGAAGATCCGCCGCCGACTGTCACCGAGGACCATAAATTGTGCCAGTGCTATCCAGGGCTGTCGCTACCTTCAAGGACGAGCACATCTTCACGATCACTGGGCCGCCAATAGCATCGCCGCCCCTAGGCCAGACCACTACCGAAGAGCCGCTACGTGCCATCTGTAAGAACCGCCCACATCCTCGTCATCCAGGGCCGTAGTCATCGCCATTACTCATCAGGACCGGAGTTGTCCTCTTCGTCAAAAATCCGGGCCGCTAACGCTATCTCCGCCCACGGGCCGTCATCCCCCGTCACGAGCATCAGAAACCTCAGGTACGCCCAGCACCCATCGCTCAGGGCTGGTGCCCCCGTCGTAACCAAAAAGAGGCCCGTTAGCATAACCAGGGCCGCCGAGACTGTTATCACGGCGGGAGGTCGCTACTGCCCTCGTCACTATTTGGGCCACCGTCAACAACACCGCAGGGCCGTAACCACTACTACAAAGGGGCTGCTACTGCCGCCGCAACCAGCTCTCATTGGCTGCAGCACCAGTACTGTGGGCGTTTACCATTCTTACGCTCGCTACCGCTCTCACGGTTGTCATCATTGATCACCGAACCGTCACCGCTCTCACCGTCACCGTTACCGTCACTAGCCCCCGGACAGCCCCCGCCCACTGAACCACGACGCCGACCGCCGACCAGTTAGTCTCTCTCCCTCTCCGTACCTCCCTCTCTCTTCTTGGACGTCAAGGTGCCGGTATTCTGGCCAAACAGCCGCGTGTGTGTGTGGTTGTGTTCACTACAGTAAACTACTGTGTTTTATTTTATTCAGTGGGGGTTAGTGGGACCTCCGCCCAACCCTGGAGCGGCTGAGTTACCTCAGCCTTCGATAAAACCCACCTCATAACAGGTTATATATGAAAATTAAAGATAATTTTCTGTTTTATTTTAATAAAGTATTCAAATGTATTACTAATTAGTAATTTTTTTGTTTAAAATATTTTTTTTTTTATAAAAAAGGTATTTTTTCCTTTGAATGTGTTTTTTCTAAAAATTTTATATACGAAGTATACAAATATGCAAATCAGAAGAAAGGGGATTTAATCGTCTTTAAAATGATCCCAATATTTAAAAAAGACGTTAGTAATTTTGTTGTTTACAATATTTTGTTTATAAAAATAAAGCTATTTTTTCATTTAAATGTGTTTTTTTTTCTAAAATTTTTATATACGAAGTATACAAATATGCATATCGAAAGATAGGGGTTTAATCACCTTTACGACGATATAAATTCCACCCTTATAGCACCTGTAATATAAGTCTGCAGTTATATACATTTAAATAAGAGCAAAAGGGGGACTACGTCTATATTTTTTGGTTTTTAGTTATTTAAATGCAATAATTAGATATAATTTTTTACCAAAGGTCCTATTTTGAACTTCAAAGGCCCATATCTCGATTTCGGAGGCTAACTTCGTAAAACGGAGAAATCACTTTTTTACCTATGACTCAATCTCTTAAAAAAATTGGTTTGGTCCAATACCCAGAAAAAAAGTTGATTTTGCCGTACAGTGTTATCATATTAAAAAAAGCGCACATCCCTCCTTCTTATTAACTCTTTTGGACACTTAAAAATTTGATTCCTTTTTTTAATTTCATTCATTGCTTTTAACTGCTTTTAAATCACAATATTTACAATGCGGCTTCAGTAAATAAGCTCTGTGCAAATAACATCTGCCATTTGTTTTGATTTACACTTTAAATACGGGTAAAGTAATAATTCTAGTATGCGAGTTAAATTTCTATTAATTGATACAAATTTGTTAATATGAGTGACAATGCGTGATTGTGTGATTCGACCTACTCACGCTCACGCATGAGTATACTAGAGTTCATTCTTTGATGCTAAAGGCAAAAATTAGCGCTTTGTTTTGCACAAAAGCGTGAACGGTGTTAATTAATATTGTCAGTGCGAAAGGTTAAACTTACGAAAATTAAATGAAAATATGCAATGCCGAAACAAAGTTAAAAAAGTAAAATTTTATTTATTTTATTTTCTTCTCTTGCACAGCCGTTTTCAGTTGAATTAATGATCAGCTCTGTCTGCTGATTGACATAAAATCTCGTACTTTGCATTTAAGTCTGATCTTCGGCTGTGTGTGTATGCGAAACTAAAAGTGCGAAATGGTGCCATATGTTTTTTGTAAAAAAACCTGTCGAACATTTCGAATTTCCGCCTTTTCGCTCAAACGCACACAGTTTTGCCTTAAAGAATGAACTCTAGTTATGTAAAATTTTCTCTCACGCACTGTCACTGCTTCTTTAGTCCGTAGCAAATACCCACAAAAACTTATTGATCGCATTTTTTCAGAAAACGCACGCATTGCTCGTTTACTGGAAGGACGCCATAATAAAATATATATAAAATAGCTAAGCACGCAGAAATGGCTCCAAATTTTTATTGGGCCGTATGAATAAAAACTAAGCAATTGCTTTTTCTTAAAANAGCTCGTTTACTGGAAGGACGCCATAATAAAATATATATAAAATAGCTAAGCACGCAGAAATGGCTCCAACTTTTTATTGGGCCGTATGAATAAAAACTAAGCAATTGCTTTTTCTTAAAATTGCATACCTTTTACTTAAATTTTGTTTGAATAAATTGAGTAAAAGATCTGAAACTTTAAGAAAAAGCAGTTGCTTATTTTTATTCATACGGCCCATTATTTAAAAAAAACTTATGTATTAATTGTGCTCGGAATCTTATTATCTTTATTCTANTTATTTAAAAAAACTTATGTATTAATTGTGCTCGGAATCTTATTATCTTTATTCTAAAATCTAACACATTTTTTCTCGCATTTTTGAGTTATGATTTTTTACTAGCAATAGAAAAAATTTGTTTAAACTACTTACGTTGGATGGCGTTTAAATAAAAACATGATGAAACGGGTTGCCTCAGGAGTGACTTCACTATAAAGATTCTCAAATCTGTACCGCGCAAACGATATATTCTGCTTTGTATCGTATTCATCAATGCCTCGGAATGGGCTCTTTCCAGAAAGCAAAAGGTACGTCAACACTCCAACAGACCAGATATCGCTTTGTGGAAATATCGGTTCTTCATTAACCATCTCTGGGGATTGGAAGTCAAGCATGCAACTTGCAGCAACTTTTGCTCCTAATTTACTAACTCGCTTGGCTGATCCAAAGTCAACTAGCTTAATTTGTACTGAACGCACAGAAGCCATAACAATATTGTCAGGTTGAATATTTAGGTGACAGTAACTTCTCCAATGTAGATATTGAAGGGCGTCCAAAAGTTGAGTTATTACTGTAGCCACCATATGTTCCGTATACTGGTGACGACTACTAAAGTAGGTTAACACGTCTGCACCCTGTAGTTTTTCCATCACAAATATTGCTAATGGTACGTTGATTGGCTTATATGCTGCGAATAGTGCTACAATTCGCTCATGCCTTAATGTTCTGAAATTCTCAAATTCTTCTATTACTGAAGCTTCAGTTTCCTCATTCAAATCAAAAATTTTTGCAACGATTATTGCATTGGTGGATTTTTGAACGCCTTTTACTATTGTGCTGAATTGTCCTCTATGTATTTCTGAAATAAAACTATACTTTTCGTTTACGCTAGAATCAGTGATCCAATTCGGTGGTTCGCATTCACAGTGGTAATCTGTATGGACACGCTCCTCTTCTGGTACGATTTCTTGACCACTTTCTGTTAGCTTCTGCAAATGTTCCATTGCCTTTGATATATGTATTTTGGGTGAATCTAAGGATGTTGTTTCAGCTGTCAACGGGATGCCCATTTCACTCCAACCGATACGATTTCTAGATGATAATCTAAAGTGGTATTTGGTGTGAGGCTGTAGGTCATGCACAAGATAAAACTCGTGATCAATATTATCTGCAATGGTTGTCCAAATGTCTGAGCTAAATTCTTTATATTGCAAACAGTAGCATAAAACTGCTGAATGCCCATCATCTTTTGGTTGTTTCCATCTGAGAAGGATCTCTGTTCCACTTACAGCAGATACTTCTGGAGAATCGGGCGCATCGGGCAACGTAGCTACAACTAAGCGGCATCTTGAAACCGTTTGTCCAAGTGAGTTTCTAGCAACTGCCTTATATATTCCTATATCAGTATGAACAGCAGGATCGAAGCGTAAAATAGATCTCCCATCCTCGTCAGCGACTATTTTTATTCTGTTGGATTCATTGAGAACCATGTCGTTTTTAAACCATTGAATACATGGCTTTGGATCACCAACAGCAAAGCAATGAATGTGTGCAGGCTGGTATTCAATGAGTGCAAGCGTTTGTGGCTTCTCTCTAAAAAACGGAAGGCATCCTTCTCTTTGACTTTCAATGAGAGCTTCTGCTTCAGTGTATTCGTCTAGTCGGGGACCTAATTCCGTACGAAGTCTGCGAATACTGAACGAATCGTTGGAACTGTACATATTTATCCGACTACGAACCCGCTCGTCGTCTATCTCTTCGTCCATTATATCAGTAAAGCGACGACGTTCTCGGATGATTGGTAACTGCAATGACAGACAAAAAACAGCTCAAAATTATATACATATGCTTATGTAATTAAAAAACACAAAATAGGGATGTCGGAAAACATCGATACATCGAAAATGTCGATGGTGTATAAATAGTCGATGTATCGATGTTCCGTTAGAAACAAATTAGCTCNTGGAAAACATCGATACATCGAAAATGTCGATGTTTTGCTTCGATGCATCGAAAATTTTCCACTCGGTGTATAAATAGTCGATGTATCGATGTTCCGTTAGAAACAAATTAGCTCAGTTACAGTAATTTATTTCAAATTTTGTACAGTTTTGTTAATAACATATTTTGTTGTAAAACTTTATTCGAAAAATCCTATGCAAATCGATGTATCGATGTATGCTCTTCGATGCATCGAAAATTTTCCACTCGGTGTATAAATAGTCGATGTATCGATGTTCCGTTAGAAACAAATTAGCTCAGTTACAGTAATTTATTTCAAATTTTGTACAGTTTTGTTAATAACATATTTTGTTGTAAAACTTTATCCGAAAAATCCTATGCAAATCGATGTATGCTCTTCGATGCATCGAAAAATATCGATATACATTTCGATNTCGAAAAATCCTATGCAAATCGATGTATCGATGTATGCTCTTCGATGCATCGAAAAATATCGATATACATTTCGATGCATCAAATCAAAGAAAAACATCGATGTAACATCGTAGGGAAAAACTCTAATACAAATCAATAATAATAGCAATAGCCCCAATCTATCTAAACGAATTGCAAAATTAACTTCTTTCTGAAAAGTAAAAAAAAATAATATTAAACGAATAGCTACAAAGAAATAGTAAATGTATGTACAAGAGAGTAATTCATTACCACGCTTTTTTTACACATTTTGTTTATTGTGGTGCCAAGCAGTAATAAAGCTCCAGGAAACCACACTCATTTTGTGGAGTAATTAACGAAAGATAACAAAAAAAAAATGTTGAATTATGGTATGAACACCGCTATTAAAGTTAAGGTGTTTTTCTTAATTAAAGATTGTTTCGAATTTTTTTACTGTTAATTTGCTACTGAAAATTTAGAATCAACATACACTTAATTTTTTCCGATTGGCAGTTATTTGACAAAACATTGGCAACCGCCAAAATAACGTAAGCGACATTTTTTTTAATTTATTTTTTTTGATGCAGAAATATTCCTAGAGCATCTAGAAGCATTTCTGCATCAAAACAAAAATTTTGAAAAAAATGTCGCTTACGTTATTTTGGCGGTTAGGGCTCGATATGAAAAAGTAAAAAAAAAATATAGACAATCGTTAATTAAACAAAAACGTAAACTTAAATGTAAAAGTAATGTCAAAAATTAAAAAAATGCGTGTTTAGCATTGCAGTCGTGCAGACGTGTTTTTAATTTGCTCTCGCGATCTATTAAGTTCATCGCTAATTACAATGTTTAACTGCGCTAAGTGCAATACTCAATGCACGGCTGATACCGATATTGCTTGTGGTGTTTGCAAGAAATCATTTCATATCAAATGTGTTAAACTTAATACCAAGTGCTTATCACTGATCAAAAGCTGGAAAAACGTAGTATACAAATGTGACTTTTTCATCAACTTTTAATGAAGCTTTTACGAGCTTAAATCAGCTAAGTACACAATCTAACTGTTCCTGTAATCTGGCTGCTGATTCCAACAACGTTTCTGATTTCTCGACCAAAGTTCTAACGCGAGCAGGGTCTAAAGTCATTGACACTAACCGTGAAATCGTTGTTGATAAAACAACACCAGTGCAGTGTTATCACTCCAGAAACCAAGTTAGTGGTAGATTATTAATAAAAACAGTGGTAGATCTCTTAAAAAGTGTGGTAGAATATTTGTAAACTTTTTATTCGCCGAATTACTTTGTAGTAACCATATATGTAATACTTCTATATTGCTAGTACAATATGATCGCAATGTGTTTTCAATTTGAAATGAAAGAATGAAGCGCCATATCAAAACAGGGACGGTTCAGGGAATTAAACAAGCAAGCAAACGTTTTACGGTCTCATGTTTTCTTTAAGCCGCATACATATCCTAGCCCTAACTGCGAAAATAACGTAAGCGATTTTTTTTTTAAATTTAATGCACAAATGTTCTTTGAGCATCTTCGCCTTTTCATTGCCCATTTCTCTTTTCGCGTTGGATACTAAAATAAAGGCAAACGGTGAGAAAATTTTGTGTCCGTTCATTAAAATGTCACACTTTTATACAGCAGAAAACGCACATTATCTGCCCCTTGAAGCTTTGTCATGGGAGATGGGTACCCCGAAAATCAGGTGGTTGGTTAAAACGATAATATTATGGAATGCGTGGGCTGGACAAGGAAAATAAGGCAAAGACCTACCCTTTTACAGGGTTTAGTGTAACATCAAACACAGTTTGCACTGTGAAAGGGCAACATTTTTTGGTAGAAACGAAATCACCGTAAACATATCACAATTTAAACGCATTGAAAATTCATGGCATTCGTTCATCTTTTGTTTTCTGTGGAAATGTATTACCACGAAAATCGACTCGTGTAAATGCAGCTTTAGACTGGTTTACACTATGTCATACAACATTATTATATGTCAACAAATTTTGGCAACATATTTTGACACAACTTTATCTCCTTTTCCCATACCTTTCCCGAGTAGATTATGGACCAACAGCAGAGAGATAGCCAATTTAACAGCACATGTATACGACTAAAAACCTATTCTGGTCTAAGTCAATCGATAAACCGTTTTTTACTTCCATTTTAAAACGTGTTTTCACTTATTTGTCGACAAATGCCACTGAATTTGACTTAGTGAAAACCATCATATATCCTTCATGTAGAAATTTTGAAATGCTTGCCAGCACCTTCAGCTCTTGAACTAACACGATATGATTTCGGGGAATTAGGTTAATAATTGTATTTCAGTAAAATTGTGGTAGATTTTTTAAATACGCGGTAGTTGTAGAAGTGAAAAATTACCCATTGTCGTTAGAGAGTGATAAGAATTACCTGCAGTACGGGGGAGCGACCACAGGACTGATGAATCGGTGGCTACCTGATAAATTCCGTCAATTACCGACCGACTACTTGCAGTGTATTTCATCGATTANAGGTAGTTGTAGAAGTGAAAAATTACCCAAAATGTGGTAGATCTACCACAGTTGTGGTAAAGTGGCAGCACTGCACCATTGTCGTTAGAGAGTGATAAGAATTACCTGCAGTACGGGGGAGCGACCACAGGACTGATGAATCGGTGGCTACCTGATAAACTCCGTCAATTACCGACCGACTACTTGCAGTGTATTTCATCGATTACTTTTACAAGGCAATGTCCTAGGCGGTAGTCACCATCGGCTCTCTCTGCACTACCGGGAGTTACTAAATTAGTCACTTGCGTGATTTATGCGCGCCCTCTGTCGTAGTTTTTCGCTATTCTGCTTCCGACTGGTTCGACTCTGCACTACCATGTGCACCACCGCGGGTTAATAGAGTAGCTACTTACCTAGGAGTCGGTGCACTAGCGGTTCAAAAGTAGCGATTGACTCCAGCAGTACTGGAGGGTGTTAACAATACTTTGGATACAAATACAACACCATTCATATGCTGATGATGTTAATATTTCGGCTGATAATGTTAATAATGCTAATCAGTGATCGGACTTCTACCACATTGTGGTATATCTGCCACTTTTTGAGCATCTACCACATCTACCACTCAAGGTCTGAAATCTATCACATATTCCCGGTTTTGCGAAGTTTTATTTTTGCTCGACATAATTTTCTTAATTTTAGGAGCAAAAATTGTCCAACACTAAATATATATGGTAACAAGAATGATATAATACAAGATTCCGCATTGCCGGCGACGATGAAATTTCTTAAGTAAGAGTAAACNACGATGAAATTTCTTAAGAGTAAACAAAGCCAAATAGGAGGATAAAATAAACTGTAAAATAGTAAATTTTCTCAGTAATAAATTTTTCGACAGAATACGTGGTTTTATTGTGTTAAATTGGAAAATATATGATTTATAAAAAGAATAAATAGCGAAAATGTTAAAAAAAGGGGTTTTTTGTGAAAGTGTTAGCAAATTTAAGTGCATCTAAAGTTTCTGAGGCGTTGTTTACTTTTACTTGAGATTTGTCAAAATCGTCAAATCCCATATAGCTGTTTCTGTCGTGATGTGATAAAAAGAAAAGCTGGCAGCACTCCACAAGGCTGCAGAAATTTCTTAAAATATGTTCGAAAAATATCTTGATATGGAAGGAACTGCTTTACACTGCCAAGGAAAAAAATTGCCTAAACTCAACGCAATTTTTAGCAACTTCAATCTTGCACTTTATTATACTAAAATTAAATTTATTTTATTTAAAAATGCACAATATTGTTGCGATTTATTAATGAAAGAAGTATGCAAATATTTGTTTACTTAATTAATTTAAATAATTCCAATAAGTTGAAAGGTACTTGGCTTTGGTGCTTTGACTGCCTGTCAAATTTCTCGCTCACATGCTTATAACAGGCAATCGATAAGAAGTCGATAAAGCGACTGGCCGTAAATTTTTACCACGCAGTCGAGAAAACTGCCCTAAGATACCTTATTCTCTGGATTTTGTTGCTGGCTTTTCCAAACGAACCAAATGCCTTCCGGTATTCGTAGTTATCTTCTCAGTGCATTTGATTAGTTTCTTTTTCTTTATTTGGCTAACGAAGATATTTTAATAATACACGGAGACCTTGTGATATTGCAGCTAGTAATAATAGAGTCCGACCGGGTCCAATTTTTTTTTCAGGTACCGATGCCGATGCCGATTAATCGGCTTATAGGGAAAGAATCTTCCGATGCCGATTCCATAAAAAATTACAAATAAATGTACTAATTCATAAAATCAGTTAATTGAACGGAGTTAACAAAACAAAAGAAAACAAATAATTGAATTAATTGGCTTGTTATGCAACATTACATGCACATGTATGGTGTAAAAATAT